ATTTGTGTGATTGTTAAAGAACAATTAATTAATAAATTAAATGCATTTGATAAGGACCTAATACAAGGTCGAAAGCGTTTGTGCCATTAAGTTTTAATAAACATATTTAAACATTTACACATCAATAACTGTGTTTTGCTTCGATAGCCAGACATACATTTGTCTATTGACAATTAATAAGATGCTCGGATATATATGTATATACAGTTAATGTCGTTAAGTCGTTTAAAGTTAATGGCAACTTGACAACTTGCGACGCGAGAAACGCGTTCGTTATGGCGAGCTGGCTCTCTTATGGAGACACACGATGATAATTCAATTACGGTCGGGTACACACGCTGAATAGCTCGTGCGCATGAATATTGGTTACGCATGCAGAGAGAGAGAGAGACAGAGAGAGAGAGAGAGAGAGAGAGAGAGAGAGAGAGAGAGAGAGAGAGAGTGAGAGCGGGGACAAGACCGCGCGTACTATATTTGCGCTAATGGATAACGAATGCACACCTCGTAAAAGTACGCCCCGAGCCACGTTTAAGTCGATCCGCTAACCAGATTGATGTATGTACGCGTAACGGATGCTCGTAGACAAGTCAAATGCATTTTACCTGTGACATCCGCGTCATTGGGCTTTTCCAGGCAAAGTTTCCTTTTTTAAACACGAAAAATTCTCCCGAGCGCATCAAACAAAGATCCCGCTTTTACATATGATTAGTGTGTTATGCGCATCCAAGTTAACAAAAGAAAGAAAATCTCAACTCACTCTCCTTCTCTCTCTTTTTTACGGTATTTGCACAACAGACTTAAGTTTCAATAATGTTTAACGGTTCAAAAAGAAAATTTCTTTTTTTTGAAGAAGGATAAAGTCTTTGAGCAAATTGTAACTTTGTAACTTCGTATAGTACGTACGCGAGAAAGGAGCTAGATTCACACACACACACACACACACACACACACACACGCGCGCGCGCACACAGATATACGTGCCAAATCGTTTTTTAGTAAAAATTTAATTAAAGAGAATAATGATCAATTTTATTTTAAATATAATTTTCTGAACGCAGCATGAGCGGATTGTATTCATTAAAATACAAACGTTTCTGCATATTAACGAGCAGATATCATATCAAGTTACGTATTTTGTCTGATAATATCGTTGCAAATTAATTTGCATTGTGCGTCGCAGACGTGGATCGCATAAAAAACCATACTTGTGCCATTAATTACACATAAAGAATAAAATTTGACATAATTATATAATGCTTCTGTGTCCTGTGATAGACGTTTCTTTATTTTCCTCTCTCTTTGTTTTCTCACACACATTCTCTTCGATTGATTAAACTTGTTAAAACAAAAGTTTAATATCAAAAAGTATTTTAAATCTAATTTATTTTTTTGTGTTTAATAAATAATTTAGTTTGCTAAACTATTTGGAGAAAAAGAAAAAGAGAGATTGTAAGAATTTTTTAAAAGTTTTTATATGACGTTTAACATGGAAAACTTTGACATAAAAGTTTTTATATGATGTTTAACATGGAAAACTTTGACACAAAACAGTATACTGTAAAGTTTAGTAAACAATGTGTATTATAATAATAAACATAAAAATAAAAAATATACAATGTAAACAATTTTACAAAACACATTCGATTATTTATAATAAAAAAAAACTCTCTTCCTATGCACAAACACACTTTTTCCATATTCTATTATATATTCTATTGTTTTTTACATACCATACCTGAATAATGCAGCAGTTTAGGTGTCCCAATTAAACAATTGTTTTGGTTCGACGTGTATCTTCCAAGGATTAAGCAGATAGTTTGCTACTTTTTGTTTGTGCTCAAATCTTGATAATGTTTATTACAAACAAAGTCTTTAAATCAATTAAAATTAGCTATCTCTCAACAACTTTTTGTGATTATCACTAAAATCTGAAGAGATAAAATTGAAGAATACTGAAATAATTTGTTGAGAGTCAAAATGTGTATCAACTATCGATATACTAAAATACGTTTGGTTATCCCAGTATGGTAACAAAATTATTTAGTTCACGCAATATCCACTACTGCTGAAAATTGCAATACTATTAATCGATATTCTATTATATTTTATTATTGTTTATTTTTTAAATATTTTTTATCTTGCATTAACTATATTTTTGTGTATCTGTGAAGGTAAAAAATACTCAAGTATACTTTTATATTTCCGTATCTCATCATATAATGTACAAATATATCTAGACATCAAGAGTATTTAATTGTAAATAAAAATATTCTATAAGAAAATTGTTAAATAACTTTATTATCAGATTTTTGATAAATGTTACGTCATTCAGTATTTTCTTAGTAAGTAAAAAAAAAATCAGAGAAAGAAAAAGAGGATGTCACAGAATGATGCACACGCAACACCAATTAATCACTTCTCCATGTATATCGTTATATATTTACAATTTGACAACAAAACATTAAACGTAACAGGTAGCCTCGCCCTCGGCCGGAAAGTTTAATCGAGATATCTCTCTTCTAGGAGAGCGCGAGGCCAGCTAAAGGTTTCACATAAATATAATAATATTCCGTCATATAATCATATATATATTTTACAATATGTAATATGTGTATAATGTATATAATATGTTTTTAAATTTCTCAAACATCTTAATTGTCCGGTTATTTTATTTTCTCACTCACCCTCTCTTCCTTCTTTTTTTTCTCTCTCACTCTTCCTTTCGCCCGTTTTTTATATTTTTATTTATTTATTTTTTTTTAATATTTTTATTATTATTACCAGCTTTATTCCTTAGTCTTTAATATATTCGGATTGTCCCGTACTTGATGATGATATCGTACAACGCCCACACACGATATTTAATTTACTTGCAAGTTCTGCTAAAGATTACGTTCGGCGAAATGGCGATTTTTTTTTGCTCTATTCCCTTTTTCAAAAACGCGTCGAATCTTTTTTTCTTTTCTCTTTCTCACCTTCCTCTTACAAATTGGCCGTAAACTGATTCGCCATTACTTCTGCGAGAAACATCACGGTTCTAAAGATATTTTTCTATTCTTTTCTTTTATCCTTGTTGTTTCATACGAGCACAATTTTTATTTGCGTGTTGCCAATGTAAGATCTTTCCGCTCTACGAGCTGGAGGATACGTTTTTTTTAAATACAAAAGTACAAGATCCTTTTATATAGGACGGTAAGATCCTTTGATTACGAGAGGATCCAAAAATTCAAGGATTCCAGAACTGCGAGCCACAAAGTGAGACGTCGCGAAAGTCGCCGTGTTTGCAGAAAGCAAGCAAAGTTTTTCGCGCCCTTGATATCACGTAGCAAAGGTGCATATTGTATATATACAAAAACTCTTTGGACTTTCCTCTGACGGTCGATCGATACAAGTCGATTCTCGCAAAGGAAAAGTTTGATAACATTTGATCCTTTTCATCTTTAAAAAGAAGATCTTTTTAATAATTAGATTTCATATAAAAACTTTTTTTTTTTTAAGTGATTAGTGTGCGCCGGAAGAAACATTTATCTCGTTCTTTTCGCATTAACACACGCATATTTATGTTTAATTTAAACACTTTAAGTGAACTTTTTAAGAAAAACTGATACATATGATGAAACAATTTATATATATATTTTTTTTTCTTGTTTTTCATAAAAGATGTAAAGAATCGCAGTTCGCATAGGCTCTCTTTATTTAATTCTGTAAGTCTTGTGGCAGTGTATTTTACGCATAACAGGTTTTTTTTATTAGTCTGTATTTTACACCTATATATATATACGTACGTATATATATTTATACAAAAACGTAAGAGATAACGTCACGCAAACGCGTGTGTTCGATGAAAGTCGAATTTTTGAAGAATCGATTTTCAATAAATTAAGGATACTTAGATCGTTTTTTTGCGTATAAAATTCGATATACAACACGAGGATGATTTAGTTTAGAAAATAGGAAGAATTAAACAAACAAAAAAAAGTATAAAAATATCGAATTACCTTTAGGAAATGTTGCACTTTATACGCGTCATTTTTTTCAATAATTCGCACACTTGATGCGAAGAGGCAATACTTGAAAAGAGTTCGAAAGAGAACTAAAGAAATAAAGAAAGAAACCTTTTTTTACGTGAGGATGATATTTTAAAGCTATGTGTCCGGCCGCACTCTTATATACAAAACACATATACGTGGATGTATGCGCATACATGGAGAGAATACAAAGATCATACTATGTGCGTATCATATATCATAATTCGTACGTGCAATACATACGTTCACGATTGGAGCCATGTTTGTATGGCAGTTGCGTTAATCAGAGCAACGATAGTGAGCGACCTTGCTTGCGTCACAACGCCGGGGTTTTTTTTTTTTTTTTACTTTAAATAATACAAGAACGATGTTTTTTTTTTTTAAGAAGAACACAGAGCTCGGAGAAGACATCGCAAATGAATAAAAACGACGTAAAAACTCTTCGTAAAAGTGTTTTTTGTAACATCGTATATCAAGCGGCAATTCTAAAAATGGTGAAATTTTTATTTTTACGAGTTTTCGCAGGAGTGCGACACGCATTCGATTTCATCAAATATTAAAAATACTCGGTTCTTTCTGGCGTATCGGGAAGATAAAAAATTCAAGAACGCAGACAGAGAGAGAGAGTCTCGGAAATCCATCGCCGCGTCGAAACAAACAAGCTCGCTCATTACGGTTCCGGAAAAATTGTCTCTCCCTATTACATTCATTCTTCTACGTATTACAACACGACGTCACGCGTAAATATCGACACACCAAACTGAAAAATTGGGATAATAAAAGGTATATTGCGCGATGCAAATACAGTCCCTCTCTTAGAAAGTAGCAAACTTTTTGGCGTATTTTATTCCTTACGATATAAATTCATGTTATGTACAAGGAACATCTAACATCGTAGTGGCTATTTCTTCTTCTTTGTTTNTTTTTTTTTTTTTTTTTTGTTTTTGTTTATACACGTCTTCATCGTCGATTCGTATTGAGCCGTTTCGTCAGTTCTTTTGTTTTTTTTTTTTGTTTTTTTTTTCATCTCCTTTAATGTGATTCTAAACACATTCTTCTTTTCTCAACACTAACTACAGCGGAATAAATCGCATTTGATTTCCTCGCGCGGAATTTGATTGAGGTTACGATCGAGGTTCGATCTCGGAAATCGATCGGATTCTTATCGTCTTTCGTGTTTTTGACTTGGTGAATATTTACCGATATCCACACACCGACATTATCGTAAATAAAGTTTCGAGCACAGCGCTGATAAATATCAAAATTAAAGATCTGTTTTTTTTCTCAAAAAAGTCTTTTACATATTATATTATGTTGCATTGTTTTTGAACTTGTGTTTTATCTTTTAATTTACGTTGCGTACAAGAATAACTGTGTGTTAAAATGTTAAGTCTTTTGATTCCAATTATCTTGTTTTACTGAACTGCGTTCTCTTAAATGTTTTGCTTTTTAAAAAGATTCTAATATTTTCAGAGGAACAAAGGAACTCAAGATTCACACATATATCCTCGTCAATTTTTATTTTTCTTGACTTTTGATTTGTGTATCCTTCACTTCTCTCTCTTTCTTTCTGCTACATAATGCATTTTGATTGATCTTCCTCTTCCGTATTTGGTAGACACAATCTCGGTACGATCATCTCTCAATAATGAGATACTACTCCTCTCCCAGCACCCCCCTCCGTTCGGGAGCTCATGTTTCCCAGAATATCCTGCATCAACTCGTTGATGAATGAACAGCTCCTCTCAAAAGCAGTTTCAACGAGAATCGTGGCGGACCATCTAAAGCAAGGTCGACGCCGTGAGGACATCTGGGACGACAGGCTTCGGAGGGGGGTCCAAGCATCACACTCGCATCTCGCTCATCGTCGCCTGTGACACGCGACTCGAGACCGTTGCACTCTGTAGAAGAGGTTGGTTCTCCGGTGGACTTTTTGCTCTTGGTGGCGGAGGAGCTCGCGGAACCGTCAAGTGGATCGATCCGTTCGGAGGCCCCTGAGAAAGAAAAATTAGAAAGGTCAGTCTCTAAATTCAAAATTTTGTGACAAAAATTAAATTCAACATTATCCTACATTTGCGTGCGCAGTCAAAGTCAACAATTGTTTCGCGTAGTGTGTTTTGTGAAAATTTTAAATCGCGATTCCATTAATAAAAAAAAAAAATAAAAAAAAAAACCTTTCCTAGAGCTCTAAAGCGATTGGAATATTTGCGTGCGCGGTAACAGCGTTTCGTACTTTGTGATCACGATAATCTCGCGTTTATATTACGCTTTGCCTCGAATAATAAATTTCTAAACTATAAAGTTTTGAAAGACTTTGGCCGCGCGCGCGCATTGTGTTGCATGTTTGCGAACGCGAACTTTTTAGAACAAATATTAATATACGCATTTTCTTCTATCGCGCGAGCGATAAAGAAACTAATTTCTATGATATCACATTTTTGTGTAATTTTATTTTTCATATGTAAAAACTATCAATAATAAAACGAAGAAACTTCTTCTTACTTGATTTTGCGGATTCATGTCTTGAATGACGGAAGTTCGGGGCAGAGTGGCATGCTGCTGCTGATGCTGCTTCTGGTAATGATGTTGATGAGGCAGGGTGTGAGTACCTTGGCTTTGAAAGGGAGAGCTCGAATCGCCAGGAGGTCCCTTCATCACATTCCTATAACAAAAATTGTCATATTTGTTCTTTCTCGCGACAAATTTTATTTTTCAAAATATACAGAAAAGGGAAAAAAGGAGTAAATATACAGAATAGTGGGGAGCCCCCTCCGATCGGCTTCTCGTTCACATATATTGTAAATATGACCTTCCTGAGTACGTTTCTAAAAGTTGTAGCCGTCGCTCATTGTTTATAAAAAAGTTATGATCCAAAAAAGTTTCATAAATAAATCTTTTTCCCGACAACATATACATTTTTTGTGTGTCGAAAGCATGTAGGCAGAGGGGGGCTGCGCTCCTCCGCAGGTGGAAGGGCTTTGCCTCTCCCCCCTGCTCCCCCCTCGAAAAAAAATAGAAAACGACTTCTGATCAAGTGTCGTTAAAGCTCACGTACATACTATCGACATGAAGCGACCGGAAGTCGTTTTCCATTTTTTTTCGAGGGGGAGCAGAGGGGAGGGGCGTAGCCCCCCCTGTCTCCATGCTTTCAACACACAAAAAATGTACATGTTGTCGGGAAGAAAGATTTATTTATAAAATTTTTTTCATCATAACTTTTTTATAAACAATGAGCGACGACTAAAATCTTCATATTGTTACTCAGGAAGGTAATCTTAACCCTCTATGGGCCGAATTGTTTGCTGCAGACAACTTGCAAGGTATTTATTTTGACATTTCAGGTTGATGGCGCTGCCTAACCGTCATCAATATTGTTATTGGTTATTTCAGAGGCATTCTATAATTAAGACGTATACATCATCTTGTGAAAAAAACTAAAACTATTTGGTAAAATATGGATATATTAGCTTGAAAGTTACATGGGCCCATAGAGGGTGAACGAGAAGCCGATTGAAGGGGGCTCCCCCCTATTCTGTACTTTACCATAAAAAAAAAATACAAATAATATTATGTGATACCTCCTTAACATTTCGTTCTCAACGTCAACGATCACTTGGCCCCCGCCGGCAAAATGAGAATGCGGAGGTGGCGGTTGTTTCAGTTCTGTGAAACCGCGAGGACCACATTGTTGATTCAACATCTGTTGCTGCTGAAGGCTTTTCACTTCGAGTCGCGTTTTATCCCGTTGATAATAGACGCCCGCGAATATCAGAACATTCAGAATCAGTAGACTGCAGCCGATTGCTATTGTCACGCTCAAAGCCGTCGAATACGCCGCATAACTGCACATACGGAGAAAAACTTTAATTAATATCCAAAATTGCTTGAAAAGCAACGCGTTTCTTGCCGACAAAAAAAAACATAAAATTCAGCAATTAAAATGATAGAATAATGTTTGATTAGCGTTTTTTAAGATTTTCCGAGAGCAACATCTGCAAGCGAGAAACGCACAAACACACAGATAATTACCCGGCCGCGTCTAGAGCCAAAGTGTCGGTGCTGGTGTTATGGACGTTCTGAAGATTGGTACTCTGAATAAGGCTGACGCATGTTGTAATGCTGTAATCCGTTGTGGTTGGCGGATCTGTGCTCAGATTCTTTCTCTTGAATTCCTCGCTAATCCTGCTGAGCGGATCCGGTCTCACAAAACCATCGTACAAACTGGGATCGTTGTGGCTACGAAACAAATTATGTCTGGAATCGACATCCTCCATTCCGGCGCGATGAAGCTCCGGCACGAGGCGCAGCCAAACGGATAACTGATGCGCTCTGTAGTGATTTTTCATCTTCGGTTTCATTCCTGCAACGCAACAATAAAATGTACTTTTGATTACAACACGCTAGAGACACTAGTGTAACATAATATATATATATATATCAATATACTGTGCTATCGTTGACTTTTTTTTTTCTCTCTTACGTAAAAACATATTATATATGTATATATGTCATATAT